GACTCCTTCTGCCAAAGAGATCACTGGGACAGTTCAGACACCAGAGAAAGGAGATATTTTCACCTGGAGTTTTGTGGTTCCCCACAATCAAACTTTGCTTTCCCACCGCAGCCAGGACAAAAGTCCCGGGCAATAATGTCATATGGCCTGGAAGAACAAGGGTTTCAATGTTCTATGAAAGTGCAGCAAGCTCTCTGAGTCATCAGAGAAAGGGTCTCTCTTGTTGAAAGTATGTGGCATTCGAGCTATTTTAAAACTGGCAACCCATGGGCTTACATTCAGCTTAAAAAGATCCATTGAGAACCAGCTACATAGAAGCCCTCATTCCTAATGAGAATATTTGTTTAATCCTTCATTTCCCCACCCAAGGGTGGTGGTGTACACTAATATTAACAATGACTTTACTTCTGGACAATCTAAGTAGCTGTCTCAAGTCCACTACTGCTTTTCCTTCCTCTCCTAGTTAATAGAGTCATTTCTTTCCTTAATAAGCACCTACTAAGCACCAAGTATGTATGAAACAATGATCCATGACTTTGAGAGACTAGCCATTTGCTGAAGGAAAGAAACTTATAAACACTCTATTACACTGCAGTAGGATCAGTGACCTAGCAGACAAGGGCTCATGGCATGGGGGTCCTTCTGGGGAAGGATTGGATTGTGAGGTTGTCCATATAACTGACATTTAAGCTGCAAGACTAAGAAATATCCACACGAAGCAGGGCAGAAAAGACATCCAGGAAAGCAAAGGAACTTATGCAAAGGCACTGAGGAATGACAGAACCACCAGCTGAGCACCTAGTTCCCCATGGCTGGAGAGGAGCCACAGACTACCTGAACCAGGACAAGATTGTTTAGCAGGGAAGTGACATGGTCAGATTCTATTTTTCAGATGCAAGTTAGCAATCTGCATGGAGGATTACTTGAGATAAGGGAAGAGAGACCTGTGTCAAAAAAGTCAATTTGCATTTAAGTGACAAATGACAGCAGCCTTTTTTGAACCTGTGGCAGAGGAATTGGAGTGAAGGGGTTGGATTGAGCAGTTGGAATCAGTAGCTTATTTGGTGTATGAAGAGAAAGTCAAGGGGGACTGTGATATCTTTATGGAATTGCCTCTTGGTCAATGGTGTTGAACAAAATGAGAAATATGCGAAGAAAATTAATTTTGTGGTGAAATGGGTGTGTTTGGGGATATGACAAATTTGAGTTGCCTTGGGATATGAAGTGGAAATGTCTGTAGGTAGTTGGTTGAAAATTTTAGATATAAAGATAGATTGATATAGATATCAGATAAAAGGTAGCAGAAAGTAGTACCACAGAAATAAAGTCCATGAGTGCAGTTGAAGAAGTGGTGGGAAGAGACTAAGGATAAGAAGAGGAGCAGCCTGTCCAGGTGGACCCTGGATGAACAATACCTCTTCTATTTCTCTCACCTCTCTAGCACCTTTTAAATCCTACATGGCCAATCTGTCTCTTCACCCACTGAAAATGGTAAGTTTGCAACTCTGTCTTTCCAATTCCAGAACAGCATGCTTGGATGGTAGATGAAAAGTTTTCTGGGAAAGACCTCTTATTATTTTCCTTTAAAACATATTGGAGACATTTTACAACTTAAACCAAGCAGTTTTTTCCTGGGAGTTATGTCTGGAAAAGAAATGCATGATCTCTGTAGTCAAAGACCTCTAAAGAAGCACTGCTGACTATTTTTAGCATGAGTGTAAAGATGAATGCTGGAGATATGGCTGGAAAAGTAGAGAAGGGGGTGAGGGAAGGAGGAGCAAGCGACTTAGAGAGACCTCATGCCCTTGAGAAGGTGAAAAGGAGCCAGTTCTTTAGGGCACCATTTCCCAAACTTCAATCACTCATTCTCCACCTTCATGGTTTTGCAAGATTCCCCATACCATCTACACAATTATTCACTTCACTTTTTTTCCTCTAAATCCATCCACTTTTTGAATTTAAAAACATGTTTTATATCAAACAGGCAATATCACTTTTGGAAATGCAGACCTGCATCAATTACAGAAATATTTAAAAAGGCTAGTTTTAAAAGTTAAAGCCTTCAATAGAAAAAGTAAAAATGATTGTATTCTAGCTAGATAACTATTGCTTGCTCAGGGCTGTGAACCTGAGACCTGCTCCTTCTTTGCAGAGAAATGTGATAAGCCAGCATTAGGAAGGTTTTAAAGACGTTCTAGTACCAAACTCAGATTTTCCCCTCTGGGTTATTGGAAGGATTGAAATAAATTTGAAAAGATAACAACTTTCGTACTAAGTAATTTAATGTTATTTAATCTTGGATACTATGGTGGCATTCACTCAACCCTTTGGGTAACTTGTGCTAGGATTAATGCTAAGGAGGAGTGAAGGAAGTGATTGGGGCCAAAACAGGCTGGAATCAGCTTGTGGTTTAGAGCCAATTGCCACTCACTTCCTGTGGAGACTATGGTAGTCAAAACAAAAGGTTCCATTCACCTTGATGTACATAATTCCCTGCAAGCTCTTGAGAGCCATGGATAGAATCTCTAGGCACTGGTGTTGGGACTGTGCTCTTGGTGAGATAGGGTGTATCCAAGTGTTCAATGGTAAGAGGAGAGTCAAGGAGGCTCAGGGAGCAGAGAGAATGAGTTTGATAGAACCAGATGACCCCACATGTCTTGATAAGAGCAAGCAGCATAGCCATAGCCTCCAGCTGCTGGAGCCTCTGGGAAATACCACTTAGGAAACCATATGCATGGCTAACTTAGCAGCAACATCTCCAGAGAAGAAGATCCAGTGAGCAATCCATCATGCGCCCATCTGCTTTATGTACAGTGACATGCACTGAGCACATCCATCACCTGGGAGAGAGATTGCGGCTTAACAAGGCCTGGGGATGAGTATTTCACATCACTTATTCATTCGTTTCTAATATCTGACTTTCCAGAACACAATGCAAGTTTGAAGTCATTTGAATGTTTTCTAAAAAAAAATGACAACTCTCATCTTCCCACTGTTGCAACGATGGGGCTGTTGTTCAGATCTCTTTGCTTTCATCAAATTAATTGCCCATTCCCTACAATGGCTTAGATACAAGGATATAGATTCTGTCTGGGAGAACAGTCTGGCTTTGAATGGTAATGAGGGATATATGCATACAATTGCTTTTCTTCTGGAAAGGAAGGTGTGCATGAAGGTTTGCTAACCCATCCAGGGGTGTAACTTAATTTAGAATGTTTGCTGGAGATGTTTGAAGTAAGCGCTAGAAAAATGCAAACATTCTCAGACGCGTTGGAAGGTCATAGTTTAGCCAAATATTGTCACTTTTAATTCGGCTTAGAATATCAGAATGTCAGAACTAAAAGGGACTCTTGGGACCATTTAATTAAAGACCCTCATTTTTCAGATGGGGAAAATGATTTGCCCAAGGCCAGGTCATGAAACTCATAGTAGACTTGGAAATCTTGCCCTTTTTACTCATATAGGCCACATAAAAAATCATTTTAAAGTAGTAGAAAATACATTATCTGGCTCCGGAAGAGAAGAGAAACTATCCAAAATTTAAATGGAGGTTAGTTCAAATTGATTCTTCTTGTTTATGATGAATAGTTTTATCCTCTCTAACTGTCTAGACATTTAATAATTTTTGTCCTCCTAATGATTAGAAAATTTGTTCAAATTGAGAGATATAAAAAAAGAAGCAGGAAAAAGAGAGCAATTGATGAAACTTCTACTTAGGCTTTCCAATGCTGCAGGGCTCTTCCAGGACCCTCTTTTTTAAAGGAAGACGTCACATTGAGGTGAAAGGCATTTATCTGTGAGCAGTCCTGCATCTTCTGTTATTTGATTAAAAACAGGTGGCTCCTCTTTATAAGGAGCTGATGGGTTCCATGAAAAGATACTCAAGGCCCTGTGTAAGTAAGTGCAAGCACCTCCTGCCTTCCAGGCACAAGGTCTCTTACTCAATGAAATCTCAGGATTCTGCCGGAGAGAATGAGAAGTTTTAAAAGAAGACATAGGCAACCCAATTAGGCTCCAGTCTGCTCGGGCCCTGAGCTGCCAGTTTTCAACAAAAAGAGAAATGTAATAGAGAAAGCAAAACTGTTCACTTTGGTCAACAAAATTAGATATCGTCAACGGAAAGTCCTGCTTTTGACCACTTTTCTACTATGCCATGGAAAGTGGTCTTCCAGCTAAGGGGGCATTGATCTTTCCAGTAAAAACAGGTATAAGCCCTTGGATTTGTACAGAGGTTTGCAGTTGCAAAAGACATTCACATATATGATTTCATCTGGTCTTCATGGCAACTCTGAATAGGGATAATCGTTCCCTATGCAGATAAGGAAAGTAACAGGTTAAGTTAGCTGATGTCAGACTTGGGGATTAAAACACAGATCTTTGACTCTAAGTTTACACTGTATATCATGTTTCCATTTTGTCACTTACAAAAATCTACTGCAGCAAACTTACTCTGTGCTAGAAGGAAATGACATACTTAGAAATGAACATAAAGTTCTTATCATGGTTCTCCACTGTGCCAAGTAAGTGCTTGGCATGGCATAGCTGCTGTTGAGGAAGAGGCAGTGTGGTGGAATAATTAAAATCACAGGTTTGAGATTTGAAAAATCTGGATGTGAGTCCTGAGTTTGGCCCTTTCTGCTCTCAGAAAATGCTCTATGTGAGCGAGACCGAATGCCTTAACTTCCCTGAGGGTGGAATGAGATGCAAATGTGTGTGCCAAGCTTACCATGATGCCTGCACTTAGTGTTTGATGAGTGTAGGGATGATTACATCAAAAGGGTATGCTCATAGACTTTGCTGTAAGGAAACAAAGCAATCCCTGCCTTGGAACCAGATGTTAACATTTCATAGTTAAATACCTTGGTTTTTTTGGTCTCAGATATTCAGAGGCCTCCTGTTTTTGCCTCTCTTGACTTTCTGCATGTAAAAGTTTGCTAGAGTGTTCAGTGAACCCTATGGCTTTATAGTCTACAGAGCAGACCTCGCTTGTGGCCAGGTACCTGTATATGATGCACGCCGTGTTCTGGCAGGTACTGCAATTGTTGAGATCTTGGCCAGTTCGATAAAAGTTGCGCCTGCAAGACAGAGCATTTGCTGGATAAATCTATGGGCAAAAGTCACATGGGCCACAAACATTCAACCTACTGGTCCCTTAGTCCCTATAGCACAGCATTCATGGTGCTCTTAAGTTGCATGGCCATTACAAATAAGGAAACAAGAAAGTCATGACAATAGGAGCTCACATTTCTAGAAGGCTTCATACATGTTTAAAGACTTCCCAAGCTGAGAGTTTTTTCATGCTGACAACAATCCTGTGAGATGAGGGATTCTGCAGGTGAATGGAAGGGAGGTTATTAAAACTCCTGACCTCTTAGTTCAGTACGTTTCACTCTGCATATCACAGTGTTTCTCTCCTATATGGCAGTGCTGATTCTGATTCATACAGCAAACGCCAGTTAATGACTTATCTCTCCTACCCTTTTTGATGAGCTTTAACCATTGCTTCTTCTCTGTCTTTAGAGAGCACTTTCTGGAAGGACGAGCATTTCACATCTAAACAAATAACTGCATTTTCCTCCTATACTGGTGCTGAGTCATCCAGGACAGCATTTTGTGACTTTTTTCTCTTGGCAGAAAATGAATTGTGCAAAATGAACTGTGATCTCATTTCAGTTCCAATTAGTTGGTCATTGATGGACCAGCCCAAGCCATAAAAGTAGTCAGTACAGGGGAAGGTCAATAGTAAGCTGAGTGGCCACCTCAAGTCCTTTGTCACAATGACACGAAGAACGGAAATACTGTACAAATGCAGTAACTTGCTAAGAGGAGGGGGATGGGGAAGTGCCTTCCTGCTATCGTTTTCCCCCATCATATATCAACGGAACCCTCATCTTCATAAAAATCATTTTTGATCCTACTGCTTCATTGCTGCCTTTTCCCATTCTGTTAACACCTGAAAACGAAAACAAACAGCAGTAGAAATCCACAAAAATCCACCAAAGCCTAGAACTAAATGAAATTCCATTAGAGAAAAGGGAGGTCTGTGGTTATGATTTGGAGAAACAACAGTACTTCAAACATTTTGGAGACATTTTTACTAAAAGAAACCAAAGCTGTCTCTGCCCCTGTGTTAGCGAATGACTTCACCCAGTCATTTTTAATATGAAAAAAAATCTCCTTACCCTTCAGTGAGAGCTCGAGCTTTCTCCAAGTCTTGAATTACATTCAAAAGGACTTTAATTTTCTCTTGGTTCGAGTGCAGAGATTCTTCCACGGATTGCAGTCGGCCTTGGAGGTCGCAGAGTTCACCCCGTGCCAGGTGAATTTGATTAATGTCACTAATCTCCCTGTTGCTCTGAAGTTTGGTCTCACTCTTTGGAAGAGAGGATGGGAGGTGATCACTTCCTGGACAATTTGGAAACTCCAGGGTGTCTGACTCAGTGGGGTTGTTTGCCGTCTGCCCCTGACACCCAGGGGCAGATTTCGATGCACTGTTAATTTTGAGTGACACCAGATTCTGGTGATTGTTACTTGATGAAGGACAGTCTGAGGCTCTTCCTGGGTAGGCTGGCTGCCTGTGGGAGCCTGATGAGGGGGAACTGTGAGTCCGTGGAGGTGAAGGAACACACGTTTCCTTTGACTGAGATGACAGTGGGCCAAAGTCTTTGTCATCCGAGTTGTCTTTGGGCAAAAGCAATTCAGGTTTAAGTTTCTCTGTGCCTGGTGTGTGGCTGGCAACGCTGGTGGCATTTAAGCAGGAGGTGGATTTTTCTGAATCTGGTAGAGTCATCCTTCTCCCATCACCTGGACATGTGTCACCCAAAGGGTGTATGGAGTTACTTACTTCAGCTGGCCTGTCTGGGCTGAGAGCAGACTCTCTAGCTTCCCAGGAAGGACTGTGATAAATATCATCTGGAACCTGAATGGCAGCTGTGGCTTTCTCTAAGGACCTCCAAGTTCCTGCTTCCAAGCATATGCTAACAGGACCATTGCTTTGCACCTTGGGGACCCTCGGGAGGAATGTGTGGGACACCTTGACCCTTCGAGGCCCATCCTCAAGATGCTGAGCCAACCTTAAGTAGGCAAGGTCAGAAGACACAATGTCCTGTTCAGAGAGGTTGCCGTTGACCTGGATGGCACTTTGGGATGCTGTTGGCATTTCCACCAGGGACTTGCTGGCGGTGAGTTTCTTCCTTTTGAAAACTGGGAAATGCTTCCTGAGACTGGGGGAAGTTTGGATCGCAACGTTGCGAAAGCCCCCTGCCTTCTGGGACCTGGGGAAGGAGAGCGAGTAGGTGGGGGGATGATGGTGCCTGGTTGCTTGAGTTTTCCCCATCACAGCCAGGTCTTCTGGAGTTCGGACATCAACCTCAGCTAGGCCAGCTGGATTCTTAGTGGTCCCATCTTCCTTGAATCTCACCTGCTGGGATTTGCTCCTGCGGTGGTGAGGTTGTTTCACAAACTCTACTGATTCTAGACTGTTACGCTTTAGAAGCACAGGTCTCACTTTCATATTTTGCTGGGCCATTGAGCCTCAGTGGGAAGGATCAGGACCATACACTTCTCCTAGGCACATCTCCCCTTAGGTCTTTGGAGCAGTATCTAATGATGGTATTTCAAACATAGAGAACTGCTGGCCAGGATGGAGTTGTCCTCTCCTCTTAGTATGGGAAATCCTGTTGGCCATTCCCAACCTCTAGAGTCTACGTAGGAACTAGCTGTAATGCTTTCCCTGCAGTTAAAATATTAATTCATTGTAGTATAATTGCTCCTTGAAAAAACAAATGAGTTAGGCTAACTATTAAACATCTGATCTACCAAGAGAGCTGGTAGGCTGGTTATCAAGGGAGGCTGGCATGCAGTTCTGATCTTGGAAGAAGCTGGTTGTCTTGAACAAAAAGACAACAAAAGTACCATTTAGGGGGTAGTGCCAGACTCCCAGTGAGTGAATTCCAAAAGAAACCTGCTACATCTAGAACATACGGCTTTTTCTCCCCCCGCCCCCAGAGCATTAATGTCCAGTGTGAAACTGCAGGAAACTTAAACGCATCTTCTTTTCATAGCAGGTAAATAGGTGGAGAAATAAATGACCTGGGGTTTGCTACTTTGATGATACATGATGAGCCCAAGGGAACACTCCCATTTATGTCAATCACAAATTCCTCCTTTGGGGCCATTGTTTTCTTTCATGTTGTCTCTCTTTTCTTCAGTAAGGGAAACTTATCTTCCTAAATAGCCTCACAAAACCCAGTGGGGTATGACCAGGACAGGATTGAGGAATCATAGGGGATTCAGTGGGCAGAGTCCCTGTTGTGGTGTCTTGGCTGAAGTTCACATGTGGGAACGGTGAGCTATGTCTGCAGCCTCCAGGATGATGTATGTTTGCTTGGCCTCAGGGCCTGAGGTCTGAGACCAGCTGGGGTCTGAGATCTGCAAGCAGGCGAGGAGCACCTGAAAGGAAAGAGACAATAGTTGCCACTGAGAACGCAGTTTCTGTGGACCTGGATTTCTCTTCCAATTCTAATTTCCTAGCTGAGTATTTTGAGTGGAGGGTCTAGGAGTAAGTTAACCATGTGACCTTTCTCTCGGTTCTCTTTGTGAGCCAGGCACTTTGTGGGTGCAGGGCCTTGGAACAAAATGCCTGTCTGCCTGGACCCTTTTCTCTCTACACTTCCGCACATCACCCAGACAACTCCTATTCATCAGTTGGGAGTCCCAGCAATTTCTCAGGGAGCCTTTACAATGACTCCCCCTTACTCACACACCCAGTGCCAAGACCACATCAAGACCCATTGTACATCCTCGTCACATTTTTCACAATACAAATCGTAGCTGTTATTCAATAAGCATTTGTGTATGTATTTATGTAGTGTGCATCTCCTCCACTACCCTGTAGGCTCCAGGAGGGCAAAGACTGGAACCATCTCATTCACTGCTTAAGCATTCCCAGCCCTCTTTCTGGCTCACTATAGGTGCTTAAGGAGAATTTGTTGAAAAAGTGGATGGTGGATGAAGGGCAGGTCCTTCTGAGGTAAAAGAGAGCCTGGGCATGAAGAGGAGTGAAGGTCCTAGAGTATCCTGCTAGGGAAACGGGATCTGTGGACTTGTTCTGCTATGACTGCAACATTTATTTAAGAACAAAATTCTCCCCTGATGTCTTCATTTCTTATTGCTTTCCAGGAGATAAATGTGCATGAACTTCTCTGAGGAACAGCTACCTCATAATAATAATAGCCACCATTTATTGAATACCTACTTTTACCATGCTGAGGACTTTACTTGCATTAATTAAAACAACTTATATTTACTCAGTACTAACTAATGTGACAGATGCTGTTCTAAGCACTTTCCAAGCCATAACTCATTCGTTAATCACAAATGACTCTATAAGGGTAGATAATATTTTTGTCCCCATTTACAATTGAATAAACTGAGGCCCAGAAAGGTTAAGTAACTTGCCTAAACATATCCTACTCCCTTTCCAATATTGCATTATCTCATTTAATCCTTACAAAAAATCCATGAGGTGCCATTATCCCCCTTAGACTTATGGGGAAATTGCAGCTTAGAGAGGGTAAGTACTCAGTAGAGGAGCTAGAATTTGAACCTAGATGTCTGTCATTCCAAAGTCCACATTCTTAATCATGAAGTTATGACTCTGCCCTTTTGGGATCTGCATGATATGTTGACAGTTGCTAAGAACAAGGGTAAAAGACCCTTGCAGATCTGGAGAGATGCAGGGAACTGTCCCCTGGCCTTGCCATGGCAAAGCAAACCAGAGGATTTGCTGCAAGTCAGAGGGATTACAATGGCACTGAAATGAGGAGAGTTCTAAGCCTGTCCGGATTGACCGAGGGATTTTAAAAGAAAATAAAAGTAATAAAATAGCCCACAAGTATTTGGCTGGCTCTGAGAAAGTAGTCTGTCTTAGAACCCAGCTGTATTGGTCTGGTCCCATGCTACTAATAAAGACATACCCGAGACTGGGTAATTTATAAAGAAGAAGAGGTTTAATGGACTCCCAGTTCCACATGGCTGGGGAGGCCTCGCAATCATGGTGGAAGGCAAAGGAGGAGCAAAGTCATGTCTTACATGGTGGTGGCAGGCAAGAGAGAGGGCATGTGCAGGGAAACTCCCCTTTATAAAACCATCATATCTTGTGAGACTTATTCACTATCATGAGAAAGACCCACCCTCATGATTCAATTACCTCCCACCAGGTCCCTCCTACTACACGTGGGAATTATGGTAGCTACAATTAGAGATTTGGGTGGGGACACAGCCAAACCATATTGCCAGCCAGCCTTATCATACAGATAAAAACCTTGGCTCCATAAACGGAGACTATTACTAACATTTTCCATCACACCATTTGGGGTGCTCATTGTGAGTGCAGCCTAAACTTTGTCTATCAGACTTCTGCTTTCCCCAAGAATTGCTAGATAATGTTCATAGGAACTTTGGCTTTTCCTGATCCTAGATGCCTTGAGAGGGTCCAACTAACCCAGCAGTGCTGGGAGAGTGTGTGGCACATCCTGGAAGATATTTGGATTCATCTAAAATGCTAATGAGTTGTCAACTTGTCATCAACCTTTTCTACTAACTACTGCTAACATTCTGAGTGTACCTTAGAACCTGATTCAAACCCTGCCCCTTACTGGCTGAAGGACTTGGTGTGTTTTTCATCTGTAAAGTGGGGATGACATAGTGTAGACACGGACTCATGAGTCTGATGTGAAGTCAGTGAGACAATGTATGCAAAACTCTCAGCCCAGAGCCTGGCACACATTAGGCAATTGGTGTGTGTTTTCTACCATTGCTGTTATCAGTATTGCAATCACCTGCAGCCAGGGCTTCTTGCTGTGAATGCCAGAATGTGTGTGGATATGCTGTATCTAGGGAGAGGGACGATAACTTTCAGCAAAGCTCATGGAGCTCTGTGAGCCCCAGTGGTGGATGAACCACTATCTGTAGCTTTTCCAGAGCAGGTAGAGCCATCGTGGGACAGAACGAGCAGAGTTTCATGAGCAGGTTGTTCCTCATTTGCCTTGCCTGTTTGAAGAGCAGGGTTGGCTTCTAAGAGTGGCATTGTCACCTACCTCTCTGAGGAGATGAACCTACTGATCCCAAGTTGCTTTACACAAAAATTCCAAACAACGGAACTTTTAAAATTGGTCCTATGTTCAATGACTTTGTATAGGACTTTTAGGTCTGGGAGAATCCAGTAGACACTTTCCTCAGTCCATGACTAAATCCTTTTTGCATCTTCCTCCTCAAATAATAATTAAGCCTGCCTGGATGCCTGTGATGATGGGGAGCTCAGTACCCAATTCCCTAGTCCATAATAGTTATTTTCATTAATAATAGCAAATATGTATTAAAAACTCACTGTTAAATGCTATGTTAGCACCTGGCATTTAATCCTCAAAATGACCTTCTGTATATTATCCCCATTTTGCAGAGTACGCAGTTGAAGTTTGTGAGATGATCACATGCTTGAAAACACACAGTTCATACTCGTCATCTTTGTACTGCAGAGCCTAGATATTTATATGTGTACTTTTGTGGGTTCCTTGACTAATTATTTTTTGCCTTCTTAACTGTTTATTAGCACTTCATTCTGGGAGTGATAACTCACACAGGCTACGATTGTCTGAGGCTGGTTTTCATAAGAGCTAATGCCTAGTGCGTTGATTATGTGCCAGGCATTGTGATTGGTATGTTTCATTTACTCTCTTCCTTAATCCTATGACACTCTTAGAGGCAGGTGCGATCAGTTCCCCATTTTATAAATGAGGAAACTGAGGCACAGAAGATGAACATATTTGTACCAAGTTGTTCACACTGATAAGTGATGGAGCTGTCATTTGGACCCGCAGACTGACCCTGAAGAATAGACTTCTCACCGTTGGGCCTTCTTGCCTTCTTCAGGACTGGAAAGATTAATATTTTTGTGCAAGGCTAGCAAGCAGGTTTCAAACTCCCTCCACATTTTCATTCTGAAAGTCAGTCATTATTCTGGTGTTAGCCCTGCCTTTTCTTCAGGAAGTTTATGTATCCTTTAGATGTTTTCTTTTAATCTTTAAAAGCAGTTGGTTTTCTGCTTATAAACATATTATTTGTTCATTGTAAAAATTCAAATAATACAATAAACAACAAAAGGAAGAAAAAAAATCACCTGAAATCTTACCACCCAGAAAGAGCCACAATACACCAACAATTTGGTGACATTCATTCTAGCCATCTCCCTGTGCAATGCTTGCACAGAAATTGCATACACAGAGAAGCTTATGGACAGAAAGCCTTTTGTTCACTGAACAACCTGGAGAAAGTTACACATTATGGCATACAGGTCACACTGTCCTTTTAAGTAGGCTAACATGAATTTGTCTAGTTATACAATTATCTATTTAAATAGTATTTTTGTGGACATTTAGGTTGTTTATAAATTTTTGGTATTATTTAAAAGTCTATAAATAACGTTTTTTGTATGTAAATCTTGGAGCACTTGTCTAATTATCTCCTTGGAATAAATGCCTGAAGAAGAATTACTGGGTTAAAGTAGCTGTGCATTTTACATTTTGTTGATACTACCATGTACCACTCATCCTTCTATAAAGTTCTAATGTGCAACGCTGCCATTACTGCGTGAGAGACCTATCACCAGAACCTCTTTGTTACTGTGCTTGGTCAATTTATGATAATTGTTTTTGTCATTTGCCAGTACAGTACAAAAGAAATTGTATCTCATTATTCTCGATAGGGAATTTATATGAGTGGACTTTTTTCATATATTGGTTTTACACAATGTTTGATACAAATAAAGGCTGAAAAGTTGAAAATGAAAATTTGAATAGCCAAGCAAATGTGGAAACTCTCGTGTTTTAGACAGAACCTAGGAAGTTTAGGAAATACAAAATTTTCTGTTGACAAAAATATTTTGTGTCCCAACTCTTCTGCCCTTGATGTCCACCATGACCCTTGTACAGACACATCTTGGGGAATACACCTGGCTAAAATCACCCTCTGGAGGCCTTTAAGTTTTATGGGCTCCCAGTTGTCCATTAATTCACATTTTCCTAGGCATTGGAGGTTAGGGCTAAATTAATATCCTGGCTAGGATCCAGAATCGTTCCCTAGAGGTGGTCACAGCTGCCCCACGGCTGGAGCTATTGTTGATCTTTGCAACACTTTATTCTGTCCTCCCTTGATTATTGACTTTAGTGAACATGAACCAACGGTTTATGTTGCATCTATGCCTTTAGCCCACATCAAATGGTCCTCATGGAATCAGTGTCCATTCACTAGATACAGAAACATTGGACAATATCTCTGTCGGTTGCCCACTGTGGGCTTTCACTGGAATTCCTGCCCAGTCCTCTTTTCTCAGTGTATTTAGGCCATACAGTGAGGGGTTAAGTACATAGGATTTCGCTTATTATCTACCTAGATGAGACTCTTCCACTTTCTGACTATTGACCTGGAACAAGTGAATTGATCTTTGTTAAAACCACCTAGACTGATTGTGAGAATTAAATGAAATAGTTATATTAAATGGTCAGGATAGTCAGTGTTCACTCTTCAGATAGAACCCAGCTGGTAACCATGAGATACTTGTGAATTGGTCTTGGGCCTCCTCTTTCCCTTGGATAGTAAATGTAGGTGCATTCATGGGAAGGAAGTACAAAGATGGCATTCCCTTCTACGAGGAATGTACAGGAGTCCTATCTCCCTGCCGTCTCTGTACTTTGTGTACTTTAGCATTGTGCTTGTCTCTCTATATTGTGATGATCTGCTGACTTCTAGCCTCTTCAACTAGACTATAGCTCCTTGAGAGACAGGTGGTGATGGTCTACTGCCGAGTCCTTATCCTCTGCTTGACATAGAGAGGGTCCGGTCTTACTAAATTCTTGTAAAACAAATGAATAAATCCTGTATTACTTAATTTGCCTTAGCTTCTATGACATGGAATAAGTTGGATCAGTC